GAGATTGCCCATCTCTAGAGGTAGCAGTTGTGTAGGCAACATTCGCTTCCAGAGATTCTAACCTTTCATGGAATTCAGTAATACTCATTCATGGTTGTTTGTGAAGTTCATCTTTAGATACTTAAGTTGAGGTTCTTCAGTATTTGTGAGTTGATCGAGATACAAGTCCTTCTTGAGCAGCCACACACATCCAGCCCATGTCGGCTCCATCCAACATTTTTTAAGATTCCACAGTTGTTGGATTTTCTTCTTTCGTTTAAAGCATTTTTCCCACGAGTGTCCACTTTTTCCACAGTGACAGCATCCGTTGAACATACGCTTGTCAATTCGGTTTCTTTCCCACTTAACCTTAAATGTTTCCCGAGTCAGTGGTCTCTGTTGAGCAACAGGGTTGCACCTGACAGTTTCATCCAGAACATTATTCTTCGCAGAGTTATCCTCCTTTTGAGTGGTGTCAACCAGTTCGAGCGGGTGCTCAGCAACTTGGCAGTTTTGTATTTCTCAGCTAAACATGCTTTACCAATGTTAGCATCTTTTTTCTTCTTTCGTAGTTCAGCGTGCAACATTCGAACATTATCTTCCTTTGTGAGTTTTGACACATGTCCTGTACTTTTCACATAATGAGATCTTGGAGAATGACCCAGTTCCATTCCTCTTTGAGAGAGATGAGATTTATTTTTTCTTGTGCAAGTTTGATCTTTGCCTTGCTCAGCTGAGTCTAGAGGTTATACAGACCTTGACAGTCTTCAGTAGATTTTGGTTCGGCAATTTCATCATAATCTAACATATCTTGAGTCTCACGTTCTTCTGTGTCGGTAATGAAAGCAACATGGTTTACCATTTCATGTCTGATTTTCATTTCTGAACCTCCAGACATGACTTGGTCAACACCGTTGCAATCAGGTTCCCCGGTCATTTACACGATCTTCACCTGTTTAGAATCAGCAAAGAGCTCTAGGTTTGGTGAACCTCTCTGATACCAACTGATCAATAGATATAACCACAGACCAATCAAATAACACAGAGAACAACACACTTGAAACAATCACATGAATATCACTTTATTCATATGCGCAATTTAGAACACAAATTGTTCTAGAATACATACGATCCTAAAAACCCAAGAAAATAAGAACTCACCACACGTGATTCATTCACAAGATTCAACCTAGTCTACCCTTCTTCTATGATCACACACACTCAGAGAATTCAATGCCTCTCAATTAAGAACACCTCTCACCACCCATAAACCCTAATGAGTTCTACCCGAAAACCCTTTTTAATTTCTACAGACCCGCAGCACTGAATCCTTAGTTTTTTCTTCTTATATCGTTGTCTTCTCTCTCATACATCCTTCGGACCAGCATACAGAAGACTGTGTTGAAACAGTGAATCACTGTATCAAAAGTCCCATCGTATTTACGCAAGACGCCATGCTTTACCTTTTTTTCTTTTCATAATGTCAATCATTATTCTCTGATGCTCCTCTGCACCAAGTAGCAACTTGCTCTTCGCATGGCTCGAGGTGCCACCTGTCACACCAGCTAGCAGAGTATGGCTGTGTCACACAGACTGCTTCTTTCTCCTTTCTTCGATCTTGACATATTGTGTTGAACTTCACTGCTTTCACAGGGTTGTTTCATTTTCATTGATGAAGGACAATGGCATCGCCTCGCTCTCTCCCGTATTCTCAAACTTGAGTTCCTCCAAATGGCATAATTGTGCTCCACCCTCACATACTGACTCGTGAAGCACCCTAACATAGCAAATTTCACATGGACTGAAGGTGAGACCCTTGGCTCCACTGTCTTCTTTGCCTCTGTCGTAGTCGCCATTTACCTCTCCGCCACATTCCTCGTTCGCTTCGCCATTGATTCACTCCCCTCACTCAGTTCCTGCATTCTCAAACCAATGAAAAAAAACACGAGAAGATTCTAGGCAAATCGGAGTTTCGTCTCTTGATTCATGGACATGATTTCTTCGGAGATTCTAGGCAAATCATAAAATTTAACTACGAATTTAGAGAATATGAATTTGAGAAAAAGAAAAGGAAAAAAGGATGGAGAGAAAGTGAGAGCCAGAGGAAGGAGAGATTTGAGTTCATGAAATTAACTTTTCTAGGCGGTGGTATTGTTNGGTGGTGGAATTTAATTCAATCCGAAAGAATTCTTAAATTATTACATTTGGAAATTTTAAATCACGTTTTGTGATTTTAAAATCAGCACCTCCTTTTTCTTTTGAGAAACAAGCTGGATTAGTCTTAGCATCGCAACAGTGCATAATTTTCTTCGTAAAGAATGTCGATCATATGAAGCCATATTTCCTAGTGAAGTAAAAGATAACTCAAACGAGATACAGAGGATACCAATCAAGTTAATGGAGATGGACTTTTCGAAACACAAGAGCAAGATAGAGAAACACAAATATTTGGAGGAAAATTATGGCTGAAGATGTGGAAAGATGCTACCGGTTTGGAAAATGTCTAGATATTTTATTTTAATTATATAGTTAATAAAATTTCTAGGGGTAGTTGTTTGATTTTCAATCAATTTTGTTTTTAATTCAAATTTATTAATAATATTTCCATTTTCTTTAGTAAAGTGAGACGTTGTCTTCATACACAAAAAATTACAATTCTAAAGTACATGGAATTGAGAAGAATTCGTATCCTACTAAATCCTATTGTATTCTCTCAAAACCCAAAAAGGACGTAAACATTCGAATCAAATATAAATACATGAAACATACACTAAATCATTTAAAAGACTAGACATTTTATAACTTTCCCCTCCACATGAATTCTTTCGGATTGAATTAAATTTCACAATCCAATACCACCCCTTAGAGGAAGATGAAACGGTTTAATAATCATGAGATAGTTTCAAAGATTGTGTGATTAAGAACATGGTGTGTGATGTGAGAGTAATTTTAGGGATTTCTAGATCAACTTATTTTCTATTATAGAAAACAGTTTTACGTTCTTTTTAAACGTCTTTTAATAATTTTTTAAAAATATGAAAAGAAGAAATGTGGCATAATATTAGTAAGCAAATGACTTGTGCTTTATTATATAAAGGATTTGCTGATATTTTTAATTAAGAAGAAGAAAACGAAGCATAACAATTTGGAAATTTTAAAACTCGTGTATGGGGAAATATATCTTCACAAGTGTTCAGGCCTGTGCGTTGCACTGGCTATATTCCCTGATTTTTTGTAGCAAAGTCTTGAAACATGAGCTGGCCAGTGTTAAGGATCTCGGTTATGTACTCAAGGTCCTTATTGATTGTTGCTGCGAAATCTGTTGTATCTAAAGTTTGGTGGGGCTCCTTTGATGAAACCAAAGTGAGCCCTTGATCTGATGAGCGCTGTTTCATGCCTAAAAAACAACATTAAGCGTATTTAGCTGAAAAAAATTAACCAATCTTTAGTATACTAAAACAGAAATCATTCAATAATTCTGGGATTGACAAGTGTCATTCACGTTTTTTAAGTATAATTATTTGAAAAATAATTTTTTTAATCATTTTTGTTTCCGATTAATCAAATAAAAAACAATCCACGATCTCCCTTCTCAACTTCCCACTTTCATCATCGTCTTCAAATCTGAACCATGAGTCACACTGTTCTTTCACACAAGGCCACAATTTCTCATTCGCAACCTCTCTCAAATAAATTTAATATTTTTAAACAACTAACAAAAACACTATTAAGAAACAAGAGAATTTAAGAAGAGGAAACAGAAAATGGTGCCTTTTAAATTCTTCTTATTCGATAGTTGGAAAGCTTATGGAGTTATACAAATGGATCTCGCTGAAAATCAGGTAATTAATAAAAAATCCAAAATTTTTCTTCCTTCTCTAATCGATCTTTCTACAATTCTAAAAAAAAATATAAACCTTTCTGAGTTTTCTTCTTAAATTGTGTAGTTTTGTGGAGATTTGATGCGTAAATGGGTAATAGAACATCCAAAAGCTTCGATTTTGTAGAATCAGAAGGTGTAAATAAATTCAACAACACTGCAGAATTATAGGATTATCATGACTTACCCCGAACATAGAAAAGTAAGTATCTAAAGAACTCATGCGAATCACTTTTGGTTGATTTGATTTCAATGTTTTCTAACTTAATTGTTGTCGCTTTCACTATTATTTTGGAAAAATCGCATAAAAAACCTCCAAATAGCTTTTGTACTGACACTTTAAACCTTCAAAATTTTTCACTAGCAGTTTAAACCTTCAACTTAACATTATTAACACAATAAACTGAAAAGGAGTTTCTTGGATTGTTTCCTGTACTAGTCGACTGTACTACACAGACTACTACAAGAAGTGATATAGAAGCTGAGTTGTGTGATTTATGAAGAGGAGCTCGTGTATTGATATTCACAAGCGTGGATTGGGCTAGAAAAAGGAAAGAGATATTTACTTGGAGGAAAGGAAAAATATATTCAGAGAATATATTTTTAGAGAAAAATAAGGAAATGATAACTACGAGGAAGGAAAGGATCTTTAGGGTTAAGGAGTTGCTCTTTATAAGTATATATAGAGAGGCACGGTGGCTGAGTTTCTTTNACGCCTCTGATAAGAAAAATACAGGGAGATTGATTGAGAGAAGGCGTCATCT